ATAGTACAATGTCACATACACGAAAGCACCGGGGCGTTGGTACAAACATCAACATCCCGATCATCGTGTTTACAGCCCATCGCAGGGATTTTATAATCAGACCGAATAAATTACAAAAATAACGGACGTCGGCGATACGTCTCATATGAACAAAGAGTAACCACTACGTTTACATATGACAGTCACAGCACTCGCTCTCCGCCATAATGCGCACGAAGAACTGTCTGTTTGACGTTTCGCCAGAGTACCTACGATTCGTTGCACTCTCGTCCGACAAATTGTGTTAATGATAAAACCTCCTTCAAAACTCAAATAATCGACGCTCCGTCATACACATCACACCCAGACCCGGAACAACAATTTTGGATCACACAAAGAGTTGTTTTGTGCGGGAATAGCACCAACCGTGCAGAAAAAATTGCGGCTGATTTTTAGGTAAAAACAAAAACAAATACTTAGCTATTTATTTAATAGAGAAACTAACTATCACGGTCGACTAAGAAATATCAAATACACAATTCACAATATCTATCTACTAACTAACTTTCGAAAAAACGTAGGCTTGCGACAACTGTGGTTATTTTTATTTTTCGTTGACCTTTCTGCCTTTTTGGCTGAACGATTTCCATTCTTTGATTTGAGATTGAATTATTGAAAACTAGCTTTTGCCGTCGATTTCGTTCGAGTCGAATAGCGACTTCCTGCAGATTATAAAAACTATCCTATGGCCTTTCTCGAGTTCTAACTATGTCTGTACCAGACACAGAAATCGGTTCAGTAGTTTAGGCGTGAAGAAAAGACAGACAGACAGAGTTACTTTCGCTTTTATAATATTAGTATAGATATAAATTGCTGTCTTTTTAACGACTGTCCGGAGAATTCTAGATTATAATAAATATTGTATACGCTATCTACTCTTGTAGATATTCCCTATAGGTAGGTACCGTACCTATCTATTTTAAAAACGCCTTCCTCTCTTTTAAAATTAAGTATTAGCTTGCTGTGCCCATCAGGGTCCATAATAATAATAATATGTCAATTTTATATTCCCTTTTCCACCTTATGAACTTTATGGAATGCAAAAAATGATATGAATCATCATCATCTTCCTGCCCTTGTCCCGTTTTATTTGGGGTCGGCGCAATATGTTTTTTTCTTCCATTCTGTCCTGTCACCCGTCACTATATCGCTAACTCCTCTGTCTTCCATATCACTTCTCACACAATCCATCCATATTTTCTTTGGTCTCCCTCTCCCTCTCCATCCATCCACATTTATACTCATGGCTTTTTTTGTAACATGCGTTTCATCCCTCCTTTTCACATGGCCCTACCAAGACAAACGGTTCCCTTTCAACTTTTCAGTCACTGGCGCCACTTTAAAACTTCCTCTAATATACTCATTTCTCACTTTATCCAATCTCGACACACCACACATCCATCTCAACATTCTCATCTCTGCTACATGCAATCGCTTTTCATCCGTCTTTTTCAGAGCCCAACAGTCTGACCCATACAGTAGGACAAGAAATGATATGAATATGAATACCTAAATATAACCTTAATTTATACTTATTATTTCATTTTTTATATTAGTTTTTATATCATTCACACTTTGTAAGTAAACTAGGTATACGGGTATATGTGTTATGGAGTTTCTTGCTCGTTCTTCTCCATTCGAATCTACATTTTGGTACGAGCACCAAGCTTCACTGACGAACTGACTGACTGAGGGAATTTTATTCTACTTTGACTTTTCTTTTAAAAGTATTATGTTTAACTTGAAATAAATGATTTTAACTTTGGCTCGTACGATTTTGTCGCCGAAATAATAACCTATGCGTCTGTCCAAAAATATATGACAACTTAAAAACGTCTCCTGTAGGTATATTTAAAATGACCTGGTACTTAGGTACATGGTGGGATGGGTTGGTTTGACCGGAGTAATACCACGGCCCCACAGAAAACCGGCGTGAAACAATCATAGCGTTGTGCTTCACTGTGTGAGTGAGGTAACCAGAGGCTAATCCTTACCCTCCCCCAACCCCTAGTAGGTCGGCAACGCACTCGTCACTCTTCCGTCGTTGCGGGTGTCCATGGGAGGCGCTGATTGCTTGCCATCCGGTAAAAAAACCATAGTGATATACAAAGAAATAAGCTAGACATTGTAAAATGCCCTTAATATCAATCAATTTTGTAGGTTATCCAATGTTAATGCCCTTTTGTGTGGGTACCTACATTTAAAAATGCATCTTAGTCGAACCCCAGTTCTATACTCACTTACCTAGTCAGTTAAAAATAAACTCAAAGTTACACTTTCGAAACTAACCGGGTTTAAGCGATTACGTCATTATCGATTTTTTGTTGTCAGTTTTGAGTAAATTTCCGTGGTCTTAAGGCCAGTGGAATTTTTTCGATATTCAGTAGTATAGTAGTATATTTGTACTGTTTTCCTTGTAGATGGCGTGTTATTACGCCAGAGTTAGTAGGTTAGAGTATATTTTTCATAATTCTTACTTTTCCTGTTGCTTTCAGTGTCCAAAATGCCGAACAAAGGGATAGGTACAGTTAGGTTTTGGAGGTACCTACTTTCGACAGCGTCCGGGAATAAAAAAAATCAGCACCCCCACTTCTGCGATTGCAAGCCCTGCAAAACGAGTAGTTAGGCCAATCCCTCTTATGAAGAGAAGTCTCATAGTCCCTAGACCTGAATCTCATAGGAGTACAATTTCCAAACAACTTTATTTCATTGGCGCCAAAAAATTAACTACCATTGATACCGCTAGCGACATCTATGATTTTGGAACGTAAATCTGAGAAACATTAACATTGAACTCCAAGCATTTTGAATTTGTTCTAACAATTAACTAAAATATTTACTAGATGGCGCCATTAGTCCACCAAATTCGTAGTTTATTATTATACTCGCACTTTTATTATTTAACTCCTTCCATCCTATATGGAATGAGTGAGTTAAATGTGGGAGAGCCATGCTTCGGCACGAATGGTTCGGCTCGACCGGAGTGATACCACGGCCTCACAGAAAACCACCGTGAAATAACCAGAGTTGTATTTCGCCGTGTGAGTGAGGTTACCAGAGGCCCAATCTTTCCCCTACCCCAATCCGTTCCCTTTCCCAAAATCTCCAATCCCTAATCCTTAAAAGGTCGACAACGCACTCGTAACTCCTACGTCGTTACGGTTGTCCATGGGCGAAGCTGATTGCTTACCATCAGGTAATACGTTTTCTCGTTTGCCGACCTATCACATAAAAAAACGCTATCTCTCTTAAAACTCCATTGTATTCTTTACAGAATTCAAATCTATCTATTTTCAAACATGTAATTATTTCCTGTCTCCAAATCACAATAATTTATATTCAGTCCGATGATTCTTATTATAATATTATCTTGATCTGAATATAGTCAGTCTGACCCTGAAGATCTAAGCCATACTGGGCAAAGTAGACAAACGCCAACGTGCCAGATTGCAGAGAGGCGGCAAGGGACCCGAGGGAGAACCTTATAAATAAAACTGGCGTCCTACTGCGGCTTCGCACAGGTGTAATGCTGATACTAATTTAAACTCCATTATTTAATGGATATTATACAATAAACCTTTCCTCTTCAAATCCGCTTTATCTACTCATCAAAATCAGTTGTTTAGTTTTAAAGATTTAAGCTTACATGCATAGGGATATCGAGAGGGAGGTTAAGGAGCTTGAGCCTGAAGAGGGTTCAAAACCTGGCAAGTACAATGTGGCTTTTTCCGAGTAATATGTACTTTCTATGATTATTTAGACACCACTGACATACGGTGAAGGTAAACATCGTGAGGAAACCTGGACTTATAATTTCTAATTATAAGTTTGAAATCGCCAACCCGCATTGAGCAAGCGTGGTGATAAATGCTCAAACCTTTTCCGTGTGAGAAGAGGCCTTTGCTCAGCAGTGGGCACTTATAGGCTGATGATGATGATGATAAAGCGACTTTTACTTTATACTAACGTGATTATCGGCACCAGGGGCGCTCTCAAGGTTCAGCCGGGGTTGCGGGGTAAGCGCAATGAGGCACCGCGACCTCGGCCCAGAGCAGGAGAAGGAACAGGGGGATTTTTAGTCGAGTAAGAGTCTGACACTCCCTCCCGCCCGGGCAGGAGAAGTCATTTGATGATTTTCCCCTCACAAAAAAAAGGTTCAAGCCGCGTCAGCTGAAGAGGGTAAAATAAAAAAAAGAAATAAATGACATCACCCATCAATCGCCACTTTATTATCATACAATATAACAAATAAAATAATTTTAAAAACCAGTATGCTGTTATTGGCTAATACATAGTAAAATCATATTCCTTTATTATTAAATATAAGTAAATGTATTTTTAATGAGAAAAAAATACAAAATAGTGTCTTGGTTGGTTTTTAAAATACACGATCGCGCACAGACTTGCTACTAATCGCAAACGTCGATTTAGTCGCGTTTTGTCAACAAAAATACTGTCGTGTTACTATTGTAATGGACTTTAGACTTTGGGATATTTTCCGACTAGTCAAATGTAATACTTATTTCGAATGCCAAACAAAGTTTTCTATGAGGTATTTTTTAAAGTTTGCCATCATATTTTTGATGTCAAATCTCATAAATAATTTAGGAAAATACAAAAACCAATCAACAAAAGCATCATCACTTAAAATCAATGCATTCACGAGTAGAAATATTTATTTTTCGACTGGAAGAAAATCCCCTTTAGCGACTGCGTTCGACGTTTGCGATTTTTGTAAATTAAGTTCATAATATACGAGTTACTGCGTGCGATCTAAAGTCGTTAATGTGTGCCGTGTCTTAAAGCAAACTATAAACATACCAGTGGTTTTATTGTGACCAATAAGGGAATGAATCAGTCTTATACATATTCTTATTTTAATACTAATGTTACAAAGAGGTAAAATTTGTAAATTTGTATGTAGGGGGTAATCTTTGGAACCGGTGGTCGGATTGCCAAAATTCTAATATATTGAAATTATTAAACGTATTACTTAGGAAGCTGTTTGATGAGAAAATATGCTAGGTTTAGGTTCGATCCGCGTTTGGATATTCTCTAACAGTGTCGTTGGTTATGTACCCACTAGCGATCCGTCCTGGCTTCGCTCGGATGCAATGCTGATCCTAAATTTCTACACTATTTAATGGATGTTGAATGTAGGCGTGCTTCGTCGTAGATCGTATCACCGCTGACGACCAGGCGTGATAGCGGGCAAAAGTGTGCTCATTGCGAAAAAAAATCTCCGAGAGCGACAATTAAGATTCCTATTATTTTAAATTGTACAGATCAAACCACTGGTATACAAATTCAGACCAACAGTTCTTAACTCATTCGGCAACAGACAACAGTCATATATATATAAAAAATATTGCAAACTGTCAGTCTTTCATTAAAAATGGTGGTCCACTGTCAACATACACTACTAAACATAATTTTCTATGGTATAAAGACCATATTAAAACATCAAGCTAAATTACTACTGAGAATTTTGTCCTAATCGGGTGAAGAACCCTAGTCCTCAGCAGTCATATCTAAGACTAAGAATTAAATGATTTAATAATATAAAACTATTACTAACAACATTTAGTTAAAAGAAATATATATAAAGAGCTGATGCTTTGTCTACCCCAAGAGGAGAAGTAGTCGTGAACGTAGGCATTTTACTATAGAGATTATCCAACTAAAATTGCTGCATTCTCTGAACAAATAGGGATGACGACTAAAAAGTAATAATTAGTCCATCTTTTAGAACGCCAGAAAATAGTAGATACGTATTTTTTCTTTTGCTTCTAAAACTTAAAATAACAAAGTTACAGAGCGGCGAAAGTTCGCGCTACGTCATTATTTCTTAAAATTTTTACGAAAGTGTGACGTCACGAGCCTCTATTCCTGAATTTGAATGTGCTGTATCTTTGTCAATATTATTCGTATGGACAAATAAAAATACGTATCGAGTATTTTTCTATAATCTAACTGACGGACTAATTATAATCTTGTTTTAACCCAGAAGACATCCCTATTGGGACATAAAAATGTTATAATTCTGAGCTTAATGCACCAGGCATTAAAATACCAGACTCAAGAGTAATCACTGACAATGCCCCCTTTTATCCAAACTAATATTATAAATGCGAAAGTAACTCTGTCTCTCTGTCTTTCTTCACGCCTAAACTACTGAACCGATTTCTGTGAAATTTGGTACAGACATAGTTTGGAACTCGAGAAAAGACATACCAAAAATGTCCAGGAAGGCACTATTCCACGCGAATGGAGTCGCCGCCAAAAGCTAGTTATTAATAACAAAAATACTTGAAACAAGAATAATATTGACAGCGTACCACCGTTATGTAAGTTAAGGCACACACTATACGCAAGCGAGCCGTGCGACACGGCACACAGTTGCGACTGACGCGACAAACGCGCGATTAATAGTCGTCGATGTCGTACAGATTGTCGATTTCTTCGTCGTCGAGCTGCATAGACTGGAAGTCAACTTTATAGCGTAGGAGACCTGTTGACAAGATATTAAAATTTTAAAATGGTGAATGGTAATATACACACTGTATTAACTGTATGTTAAACTAAGAACATATAGAAGAAGGCGATTTTGGTGCTCAATTAAAACAACTTTTTTTCAAGGGATCCCTAATAATTTCCGGCCAGTCACCCCCGGCCTGTTTATCCGTATGTATCAATATTGGTCAGTGGCAGGGGTCATAGTATCTCCATAGTTATCGTATCCACCAGTCCATAGCAACCCAGACTCTGACCCTTTCAATTATTAGATACCACATTTCGCAATAGTTCTGCATCAACTGGGGATTATCCTTGGGTGCACTTTTATAGTGCATCATGATAATTGCCGGCTGATGTCCCATTTCACTTATTACATTAAAGTTGTTCAACGGGCCTCTGCGAGTTGGTTTCGGCCCGTCGTTCGCATTCTAAAGGTCAAATATACACACATCTTCTTTAATATAAAAATTAATCGCGAAATGTGTTGGTAATCGCATAACTCAAAAACGGCTAGACCAATTTTGCCAAATCCTTTTGTTTTGTATTTATTATTGTCAGGAGAAAGTTCTTATGAAAGAAAATATTAGAAAAGTAGAGGGGAAAATTGGGGAAAAGGGACCCTTTCATTGTTAGGGTGATAGTTTGACACGTGCGAAGCGGGGGTGAGCCGCTAGTAGTAAAATAATATCCAAATTAATTTCCCCATACTAATCTCAAGAAATGATTGATCATTTTGAATGGAGAAGTAAAAATATATGGCTTATGGAAAAGGTTGTGTTATTTGAGCACCAGGGGGCTATCCATGAAGTTCAAAGTAAGATTTTTTTAATCATACTTCAGTGTGGGTAAGGCAAAGAGCTAGACAACTTGTATAGCTCTGTCTCTTACCCACACTAAAGAAAGATTAAACCAGTCTTACTTTCAATGTCATTGTTACCCCCAGAATCGGGTCCTTGATTATGTCTCTTGGTAGAGTGGTTGTGGACATAAAACACAGTTGATCGAATTGTTAAAAAACATTTTTACAAGACTACTATGATGGCTGTCGCAAGACCACACATGAGGCTAAAATTTCTTAAATTCTACAAACATAGTAAAAAAAAAATCATAAAACAATCATCATGCATATATCTTGAAAAGCACGCAGGATAATTATGAACTCAACACTTAGTAAAAAAAAAACAATTTACAAGCATGCATAAAACCTTAAATATGAAGGAGTATTGTAAAAAAGGTCAAATTACTATTCTTGAATAGGGTGTTTTTACTAATGAAAAATATAGAGATGAAAGATTATTGGCATATCTAGCTCAATTTCTACCAAACACTGGGTTGGTTCCTTTTGACATAACTACGTCCTATGAATCCGGTAGTTTCCAACTAGTCAAATTCAATACATTTATCCAAATGTCAAAAACGATACTTTTCTATGAAATTTGTATGAAAAACTGGGTTATGACGTCATAGTTATTTGCGTCACATAGGTTACTTATTCCTTAATAATTTGCTAAAAAAAATCTAAAACTTAGTGTATCGATCGATCGATGAATAAAAGTATAGTTATTTTACAATATTTTATTGTATTGAAACGTCGAATTAATTTATTTTTGACCTAGGAAACTACCCAATTTAAAAAAACAACACACAATACCAAAAACACGCTTATGTATTAACAATTACCTCAATTCCATTCCGGTTTCGTTAGCATGTTAGTAGAAAAAAATCTTTAGTATTACATACATATTATTAATATAAAAAGTCATACATCTATAACCTACAAGTATGTCATAAAAGACAAGAAATGTTGTGTATATTTAGATGAAATCTACCGCGAAGATAGAATAAATTACAATATCTTACATTTTGCTTCCGAATGACAGTAAAGAATCAGAAAATGTAGTACCTATATATTTATTTATTTATTCTTTATATACAATTGCATATCGGAGGACTTAATGCTAGAAGCATTTTCTGCCAGTCAACCTTTTGGTAGTGCAGAGATGTGTGGTAGGTGATATACAGCAATTTAGGAAGTTACGTGAGGTGGTGTAAATCAATTCTAAGTTACATACATAAAAATAATATATACATATATAATTGCATTTAATTATATATTCCTCTGTTTCTGTATTTGTTTTTCTATTTACTGTATGTGCATAGTTAAAAAAAAGTATTTTCTCAATCAAAATGTGAGTAATGAGTTGAATACTTATACGTAATTAGGTCAATTAAAGTTACTTCAAACTTATCTCCGAAATACTGATGACCAATACATCTATACTAATATTATAAAGAGGTAATATTTGTAAGTATGTAAGGGGGTAATCTTCGGAACCGCTGGTCGGATAGCCAAAATTCTTTCACTGATAGCTATGTTCCTTAGTGCTGTAGGCTATAAAACATCACGCTACGATCAAATGGATCTGAGCAGCGTGTTCAATTGTTAAGTACTATTATTACGAAAATATTTAAGGTTTCCCGAAACGAAGATAGGGTTGTAGAAAAAAAAAGAAAAATAACAAAACAGGTACCATTGCAAACTCTTTTATATATATATATAAGAAAAGCATACAATCCAACTTGGTTTACTTAATTTTAACACGCTCTTATCAAATAAAATTCCATCATTTAATAAAATCATCTTATTGCACTAGTTTTTGTTCATTTCCTTGCTTTATATTACAAACTTATAATTTATTCGAAATAAATAACACATGGACTGAGCTGATTGACCAAAACTAAAAGAAATAAAATTTTCGTTGATAAAAAAATCCGACAAATCCTTTTTTTCACACCGAATCTTTTGGTCTTCCATTGAAAGTTGACGACATTTTTTCATTTTCGTTTTGCATTTTTTTTTCTCTTTACACACACACACAAACGGTTTTATAGAAAAAATCACCATCTTTTCTTAACAACGGCCATACAGTATGCTTCTCTATATATCGCGGGCTATATTCAATAGATACGAACGACATAAAAATTGTCCAGAAATAATCGACGGGCTGGCAAAATGTATAAATATTCATTTATTTATTTTTGTTCAACTTGTGATTATTTTTTTGTGTAAAAAACTTGTATATAAACGTATTGAGATCCCTAAGACTAATTAAATAGCTAATCAAGTTTTGCTGGCTTTGCTACCTAAGTAAATGAATGTTTACAGTCGCCAGGTTCTTGACAAATGTACTGAATAAAGGTGCTTGGAACTTCAGTACATTCTGTCATTTTTAAGACACTTGTAACATGAAACCGGTATAAGGCAGATTGAGACTTGAAGCTTTTTCTGACATGACGACTCAACATAAAGGGCTTGTACACAAAACTGCGATGCGACGTCGCATCGCAAAAATCTGCGAGCTTCCTCTACACATCGCAAGAACTTGCGGATTGATTCGCATCGCGCATTCCACCGGGATTCATAATAGTAATTAATGGATGAACCCAAAATCTTATCTGTTTCTTTTTCCTGTATTTCCTAAGCAATAATAAAAGTGCACATTTCTTTTTACGATCCATGTCACGACCTAGTTTTCAATTCAAAATACGTTTAGTACGTTTAACGGTCGTCGGAGGAATGGCCACCCTGGGAGACGTCTTGCCGCACCAAATCGCATCGCAGCAATTCGTGTCGTAGTTTTCTGCGTTGCGAATTCGCATCGCAGTTTTGTGTACAAGCCCAAAGACCGCGCTTTGGCAGGCATATGCATTCGCCAAGGTTAGGCAGTGGTACTGCATAAGAGCCGGCCCCGACCCTATCTGTTTCTCATTCCGCCGTCGAGAGTCAAAGCGGAACAACAACATTGTCAATTTGGACGTGTCCATAAACAAGCCAATGAAAACTAGACTAACTCTCCCCGCAACCCGCCACATTTTAGCGATTTTGTTTTCGTACTGATGTTGTTTACGCGTGTTTTAGGTTGAGTCGTCTGTGTCTTCTGATAACGAGAAAGTTCAATGTAAATAATAATTATTATTACTTCTGACATAACGCCATTTTTAAAGTTTTTGTTATACCTATTATTCAGCTAAAACTCGATCGGAAAGCAAGATCCGGGCACTAAACCAACGAAATATGGTTAGTTAGTACAAAAATCAGAAGAGAATATTTTGTAAAGTATCGTCAGTACAGAAAAACGAAGATGTTCAATCTGGAAAACATTTTTAGAATGACCCTGGCAACATGTAACTTTCATTGTTCAACTGGTCTTTGCCTAGCTTACGCAATAATATTCCTTATAACCAATACCTTAGAATAACTAATTCTACGTAAACATTATGCGTACAGGGATTCTTCTTCAATACATCAAACTTTAATTTTTCGTAAAGCGATTTAAAAATTCTTTAGTAAAATAATACTTAGATAATAAATATATGTAAAATAATATTATTTTCTCTCTATAATCTATACTCCCTTTTCCCAAGAGTTCCCTGAAGTGGGCAGAGGCGGTGTTCACTGTGGTAGCCCGAATTTAAGCCCGCTTGTCATGCATAAGGGTTCGAAACCTGACAAGTGCCAATGAGACGTTTTCCGAGTTATATGTACTTTCTATAATAACTTAGACACCGCACATACGGTGAAGGCAAAGATGGGGAGGATAATTTTTAATTATAAGTTTGAAATCGCCAATCCGCCTTGAGCAGGGGTGGTGGTTAATGCTCAAACCTTCTCCGTGTGAGAAGAGGCCTTAAAACCTACTAAAGAATACACATATTTAGAATCCCTTTAAGCATAATAATTATACTTTCTATATTAATTTTTTGTTTAGTGTCCATTTTGTGTTCGATATAAACTCCCTATTATATTTTAAGCGTTTCCTTCAGGTATATACCTAACTATTATACGCGCGCGTTGCAATATATTACTAAATATATTTTTGACGATTACTTTGGATGGTTAAAGTTTAATCTTTATTTGGTTATATTTAAGGCTCATTTTTTAACGACTTCGTATTATAATGACGGTCCGATATTTTTCATGTACACTTTGTCTTT